TGATCCGAAGGCGCCATGCCAACCCGTTTAAATCCCCAGCATTCGGCGACAGCCTCGAGTATGCCGCTCTTATCTAGCTTTCACTCATTTCCCAATCGCGGGATCTGTCGAAACCGTCGTGCGATGTTGTTTGCAAATTTCTGTCGTGGCCATCAAAGATAATATTTCCCATTTGATTCTCTGGTTCGTTCTGCCACCAGATCTTCCATTTCTTACACCGTAGCGGGTCAACAACAACGTGGTGATAAGTTCATAGATCTGCGCCTCTTTTAACGCCAACATCCATTACTGAGCGTTTTAAGTCAGACGATACGACTATCAAATCAATCATCGACTTCTGTGCACACGCTTCCCTGTACCAGGTATACTGATGCACTCTCCGATGCTTGAAGAAGGTGTTCATAATGGACAATCAGTTGTTTGTACAAAACCGCAACAACTTCATGCAGTTATTGTTGAGGTCTCTAGGGCCGTTTTTTTTCAATAACGGGTTCCACTTTTCAGCGTCTACTCTGACATGTGCATTAAAATACCCCTTCACCCCCTCCCCTTCCATGAGCATTAGGGACTCCGTATTCAGCACTTACTAGAGAGCACACTGCACTTTTTCAAGGAAGGAATCATATTCTGCTTCCAAACTGGGCGTATACACCTGTACCAAGGTCAACGCTTTAGCCTGTTGTTGCTTTAGTCAGACGATTACCATCCCTACGCTGATAGGCTTCCAATCAATGATTCTATCTGCGAGGTTGGGTTCTACAAGAACACCAACATCGGCCTGAGCGCGCGTAGGTATATCGACACTTGCGTAGAATATCTTCCTCTTGGAGTAGTTAAGGATTCCAGAGCCTTGGCGCCTCGTTGAAGAGAGTCCAAAAATATCGAGTTGGTACTTTATGGTCTCATTAACTTGCACTTGCTCTTTCCCTGTGAGTGAGGATATGTTCTAGTTTCCGACTTTAAGCTCCCACTGGTGGTGTCGTTTTCGTGGAGCCTTTTCC